GAGTTTCCATCATGTTTGGGTCGGGTTTAATCATTTCAAATTGGATCCAAGTGTTGTTGTGTATTAGCAAAATCGAAATCTGGAATTTTTGGTTGAGTTAAATTAGTTTGTCCTGAGGTGGAGTTTGATCGATTGTGTTACTTAGACGCAGCTAGACGAAGTAAGTCCTGTGGTGGGAGGAGACACGTTCAATAAACCCCAAGCATTTACACTTATGTGTTCTTATGATTCTCGGCTCTGTAGCTGCTGTTGCTCATGGTTCTGCTCTTATTGTCTATTTACACTAGTTTGCAAAGATCGTTGAGGTTCTTGCTTTCTCTAATGACTCGAGTCACCAGAGATCTGAGGATAGGTTTGATCGACTCGTCGAGGTTAGTTTAAAAGCTTATACTGCTTCTTCTTTGGGGCAACTGCTAGCTTTTCTCGTAATGGTATTTAGAGGTTTAAAATGTGTTGTAAGTTGCTAGATTAGAAGGTTTTGAGCTAGCCGGAGAGTGTTAGTTTAAAAAAGCTTATACTGCTTTTTTGGTTAAAATATGCTCTAAGTTGCTAGATTAGAAGAGGTTGAGGAGTTACTTAGCTATTGTTGAGTTATTGACATGAATGCTTTTGCTTTCTCGTAATGATCTTTAGTATGTACTATTTATTGCAACGGGAAACTTTGATAAGTAGGATAAACCATGGAACCAAGAGGATCCATATACAGTCTTCCATAACAAGGTTTATGGTTTTTTATTGACATGAATGCTATTGCTCAAACTTTAACCCCAACTGAGTTATGATTTTCTTTGCCCTCTTACACTTTACTTTTCAAATGAGATAAGAGCTATTGCGAAAACAGAGAGGAGAACGAAACAAGAAAGGACCGAGTTGCCAAAATGCTCCTTATTGTCGGGTTTGATCACGAAAGCTGTTCTCATAACAACAGCAAGCACTGTAGTTTCCCAGCAGCTTTCTTCTTCTTCACACGTCGACGAAGGAGTAACAGAGTCAACGTCGAGAACACTTTACCTCGTTTCTCTCCTCTTCCGCCGGTGGAGACGGCGACTTTGGCTCATGAAAGTTTCACNCGGTTTGGTGGTAACGTGAAAGGTTTGATCCTCGATGAGAATGGTCTTGATGTGTTGTATTGGAGAAAGTTACAGAGTGAAAGAGAGGAAAAGTGAAAGCTTCCGGTGACACCGAGCACCACCACCGCCAATTCCGGTGAAACTGATAAAGAAGCTTGTACTTGTATTA